AACTTCCTCTAACATCCAACAATATTTTATGTCTAGACTTTGGAGATTTACCAAGTTGTATGCAACTGACTGCCGAAACAAGCTTCTAATTGCATCACAATCAAACATCTCAATGCTCACAAGGTTACAGAACAATTGAGGTTTGATGACACCCCTTGGAAGATTTCCATTGCATATCTCTATTAACTTGGGTAACTTCCCCAGTTCGAGAGACTTCAATTTACCGAAGGTGCCATTTGGAATAGAGTTGGTGACATCAATAAGATACTCGAAATCACCACTTGATAGAATAAGTGTCTTCAATTTAATGAAACCATCTCCATCTAACTCACTCACAACATTCTTCAGTACCTTGGCAAATCGAATATGAAGATGGTAAGTCTTCTTCATCAACGAGTTAAATACGGGTTGCAAAAGCATACTTGCCTCAATACTGTCTCGGAGACTCAAACTCCTTGTGAAATATTGATTTCCAGTATAACTTAGTGACGAGGTTTTGATTTCAAAATTTTCCAGATTCTCAAGGCACCGTGCTTTTAATATTTGCATCAGAATCGGATTAGGTGTGGAAATTTCGAAAGTATGAAGAGAAGTCAATGAACTTAACTCTTCAATTATGTACCTTTGGTCTTCACCTTCTATTGGAATGCTACCTCCCAAGTACAGCTCTTCCAGTTTCTTCATACCCGAGAAAACACCAGGTCGAAGTGGACAGGACGACTCCTGAAACCTCAAATCAAGTGACCTTAGGTTGCTAAGATTCGCTAACTCAATGGGAAAATAATCAACGAAAGACTGATAGAAAGAGAGAATTTTCAACGTCTTTAGACTCCCAATCATTGATAATTGAGAATGTATTCTACAGCCAATCAAGCACAGAGTTCGAAGACCCGGCAATAATTGGATTGATGATGGAATTTGCAAGTACATCCCTTTCAATTCAAGAACTCTGAGATCTTTCATATCTTCGAAAAATTCTTCGGAAATGTTACATTCTCCCACCTCGCGACATATCACCCGTAACAACTTAACGTTCCGATNTTCGGAAATGTTACATTCTCCCAACCTGCGACATATCACCCGTAACAACTCAACGTTCCGATATTTCAACCAGCTGGGAAGCTGATCCAGCTTATCAAATGTAATTGAGATGGCAATGCACGATTCATCAGCATCATGTTCTGGCCACTCTTTCAAACCAGCATGTTTCACCATATATCCACCTTTTTCTTTCCTTGCCATATGTAAGCAAAAATCTCTGATAACATAATGCAATTTCACCTCGTCTTCCACCTTACCTGGCTGCAATAAATTATAACCTTTTAGATTATCGACAATTGTCTTTGCTCGGTTTCGAGTTTCGCAGAGTGTCTCGGTTTCTTTAAACAACTCTAGCCCCCTTGCATATCTAACCAAATTTTCAATTGGAATACTTTCATCTTCAGCGAATAGAGAACATAGCAAAAGCAAGTCCCGGTGTTCATCACTTATCAAATAGTCGTAGCTCAATCTTATACTATCGTACACGATATTCAGCATTCCATCAAGATTGGTAGCTCTAGACCTCTGTAGCCGTTTAAGTGCATCTGTCCATTTATATAGGTCCCTTTTTTTCGGTGCTTTGCCAACAACCAGTAGTTTCCCGTCATTTCTCTTATTTTCAAGTTCTTCTCTTGGCAAACTCAATGATAGTTCATCAAAATCCAAAGATATGGAAATGGAACTGGAGCTTGTGCTTCTCGAATCTGCACGGGCCACTTCCCGATCATGCTCTCGCCGTAGCACAGCTCTCACCAACCTCTCCCAGTTGTCATAATTCCTAGACATCTCTGTTTCAGCTTCAACAACTTCAAATACACAGAAAAAATGGAACCTGGGAGGAGCTTGACAAATCGAACAAATCTGATCGGAAATCAACAGACAAAAAAAAAAATGAAGAATTGAGAT